ACAGACACTTGAATAGCGCACATTTTTCTAGGTTAACATTAGATTGAATTACAACTTTAAGGGTTAGTTCACCCAAAAATGAAAATTAGCTTGTGTTTTACTCACCCTCGAGGCATCCTAGGTGTATATGACTTTCTTCTTTCAGACGAATCCAGTCAGAGTTATATTAAAAATTGTCGTGGCTATTCCAAGCTTTAAAATTGCAGTCAGCGGGTGTTGCAGTTAAACAGTCCACAAGTCGTCAAATAAACCATGCGCATCTGTAATAAAACGTGCCTCACACTGCTCCGGGGGGTGAATAAAGGCCTCCTGTAGCGAATCCATGTGTTTTTGTAAGAAAAATATCCATATTTCAAACGTAATAAACACTTTTCTCTCACTTCCGGCATCTGTGATACACGGATGCCGTTCCGGCGGATGACGTAGTACGTCGGCGTTGCGTGATAAGTGAAGAAAGCGGAGAGAGAACAAAACAAAACGCCAGTCACGAATTAGAAATATAAACCGAGGATTTGTAAAGAAAAATGTCAGGATTTCGCTTTGCTCCAATAAACAAACTCGAGAGACTAGCATATCTCAGAGGCGCGTGTGCTGCGCATATGTGCTGCATCATCCGCCGGAACGGCTTCCGCGTATGACAGATATCGGAAGTGAGAGAAAAGTGTTTATTACGTTTGAAATATGGATATTTTTCTTACAAAAACACATGGATTCGCTACATGAGGCCTTTATTCACCCCCCGGAGCCGTGTGAGGCACGTTTTATTTTGGATGTGCGCACTTTATTTGAAGACTTGTGGACCGTTCAACTGCAACACCCGCTGACTGCAATGATAGAGCTTGGAATAGCCAGGACAATTTTTTATATAACTCCGACTGGATTCGTCTGAAAGAAGAAAGTCATGTACACCTAGGATGCTTCGAGGGTGAGTAAAACACAGTCTAATTTTCATTTTTGGGTGAACTAACCCTTTAACACGGGAACATTAAACATTATACATTGTGATATAGTAATTTTTGTGGAAAATCAACCTTGAAATGTTTTAAATATTGCACATCATATATTAATAGGGGATTTCATAGTAAAAGAGACTTAATCTTTTTTGTTTAAGTAAGATTTTCAAACAGTTTAACTTTGTAACATTAGATTTAAACACAAAAGACTTTTAATGTATTATACAGTAATATATAATAGAATGTATATATTTATAGTGCTTTCTATTTATTGTAAATCATAAATGTGTAAATATACTGCAGTATAAATGGTACTGGTTGACACATTTTTGCCATTGGCTGATATCTTTAGGTTACTCACGTAACCCCGGTCCTCTGATAACATGAGTGAGGTATCTCACTATGGGAATCGCCTCGGGCGTGACCAATCCTGGAAGCACCAATTACACCACGTCGGTCAGTTGACAGACCAATCACGACAGTGATGCGGGAGTCCCGCCTCCCTATTTATATCACTGCATAACGGTCCCTACCTCATTCTCCGCATGTCTCTTCCCTGTGCAGCTGCAAGTAGGGAAGTGTGGTGAGATACCTCACTCATGTTATCAGAGAACTGGGGTTACGTGAGTAACCTAAAGTTCTCTTTCAAACATTCCTTCTTGTATCTCACTATGGGATATAGACAACTCCCGTTCTGCAGATTTGCTGTCCGAAGCAGGTATGTCAACCAACTCAGTGATGTGTGATAATATAAAAACACAAGCCCACCACTATTCACCGAATAGAACGGAGACATGTGAAACATAAAAACATCCTCTGTATGAATGTTATTTATTTATTTTTTACCCACTTAGGACGGAATGAGCCAACGACGGCTCTGTAACATCCAGCCTATTAAATCTGACAAAAGTGTGGTGATGCCCAGCTCACCGCCGCACAAATGTCTTGAATTGAAACGCCCTTAAACACCGCCTACGAGGTGGCCAAGCCTCGGGTACTATGAGCCCTCAGCCCCTCTGGAGGACTAAGACCCATGCTATTATAACCCAATATAATAGCTTCCACTACCCAGTGGGACAGGCGCTGATGAGAAATAGGTTTACCCTTATGAGAATCAGCCCATGAAACAAATAACTGATTACTCTGCCGCAGTGCTTTTGTTCTGTTTACATAGCAACGCAACGTACGGACAGGGCACAAACAATGAAGCCGCTCTTCTTCTGGTGACGAAAAGGGCGGCGGATGAAAAGCCAATAAATCCACTTGATTATAGGCTAGAGCTGACTCGCTCACTTTAGGCACGAACGCTGGATTAGTTTTGAGAGACTCGCGAGTAATCCATAGTGAACTGCATACAGGAGTTATGAACTGACAAAGCATGAAGTTCACTAACCCGCTTTGCAGATGAAAGAGCTTGTAATAATGCGGTCTTTAGCGAAAGGAGCTTCAAATCGCTGCTGTCTATAGGTTCAAAAGGTGTACCAGATCCCACGGTGGAATCAGTGGTTTTGACACCCTGTTCAAACGCTGCGCACCCTTTATAAACCTGCATACAAGCAGGTGTCGACCCATAGTGTTATTGTCAATCCCCACATGACACGCAGAAATCGCCGCGAGATACACCATAACGGTAGAAAAAGCTCTGCCTTTATCCAAAAGTTCTTGCAAAAAACGTAACACATCTGCGACGGAACAGAGAAACGGAACAACGTGCTTATGCGTGCACCATTGCTCGAAAACATTCCATTTCCTATCGTAAGCAGAGCGCGTCGAGGCAGCCCTCGCGTTTTGAATTGTCTCGATCACCCTCGGTGGCATCCCAGTAGTATTTAATTTCAACCTCTCACGGGCCAAGCCTAAAGAGCAACTTTGTCTGGGGCGGGGTGAAAAATCTCCCCGCGCGCTTGTGAGAGGAGGTCTCTGCGCAGCGGGAGAGGCCAGGGCTGATCGCATAGGAGCTGCATTATCTCTGTCAGCCGCAATTTCCCCGGCCAGTTCGGGGCAATAATATGACTGAGTGACCGCACTCCCTTACTCTTCTTAGAGTTGGTACGATCAGACTTAGCGGAGGAAAAGCGTAAAGCAGTACTTTTGGCCACGGGTGCGCTAGAGCATCCACACCCATAGGCGCGCCGTCTCTCGCTAGCAAGAAGAACAGAGGGCAGTGAGTGTTTTCGTGCGATGCGAAGAGATCTACGGCAGCGTGGCCGAATCTCTTCCACAACTGGCCCACTACCTGAGGGAGGAGTGTCCACTCTCCGTACCGAGGATTCCCCCTGGACAGGAGATCCGCCCCCGCATTCATTATTCTCGGGACGTGCGTCGCCCGTAATGAATGAAAGTGTTTCCCGCCCCACACAGTCAGTTTCTATGCCAGACTGTGAAGCTGAGGAGAGCTTGTGCCTCCTTGGCGATTTATATATGCCACCGTGGTCGTGTTGTCTGATGTGATCAAAATGTGGTGGTTCCGCAGAAACTGCACAAAATGTTTCAAAGCTAGAAACACTGTTAACAGTTATAGGTCATTTGTGCACGCTCTGCAGCGATATGGGCCATTTCCCTTTCGCTATTCTGCCCTCGCACACTGCACCACAACCTGAAAGCGACGCATCCGTCGTTACTACCTTCCTCATGGAAACTGCACCCAGTGGAGTCCCTGATTCGAGGAACGAGCGGTTTCTCCAATAACTGAGAGCACACATGCAAAGTGGTGACACCATCACTCTGCGGTTGAGGTGGCGTTTTGGACATAAGTGTTGTGCTGCTGTCCAATTCTGAAACTCTCTCATTCGCAACAGTCCCAAAGGAATAACCGAGACTGTCGAGGCCATCAGCCCCAGAAGGCGTAAACACAGTCTGAATGGGACTTTTTTCCCTTTTTGAAAAAGGGATAGACAGCTGCAAATTGACCTGATGCGCTCCTCTGACAGAAATGCTTGATACCAATCTGAGTCCTAGATAGACTATCTCCTGTGTGGGCACCAGGCAGCTTTTTGTCTCGTTTATCTTGAAACCTAAGCTCTTCAAATCAGACACAAGCATCTTCGTGTCTGTCTCCACTTGCTGCCGTGACGGAGTGCAGAGGAGTAGATCGTCCAAATAAGCTGACACTCTGAGACTCGCTGTTCTCAGCGGTGATAGAGCCGCTTCTATACATTTGCAAAATGTTCTTGGAGCTAATGAGAGCCCGAATGGGACAGTCATAAACTCGTAGGCTGTGCCCTGATAGGCAAACCTGAGGAATTTCCTGTGTGCCGGGTAGATGTCTATATGGAAATATGCGTCTTCCAGATTGACTGAGGTAAACCAGTCTTTCTCTGGAATAAAATGTGACAGCGCTTTGAATGTGGGCATTTTGAACTTGTATTTTCTGAGGTGTTTGTTGAGGTTCTGTAAATCCAGAATGGGACGGAGACCTCCCCCTCTCTTGGGAATTACAAAGTACCGGAAGTAAATGCCGTGCTGGCTGTCCTCCGGCGGCACAGCTCGAATTGCTCTTTTCCTTATTAAAGAGGCTATTTCTTCCTCTAAAACTTGAACTGACTCCCCTTCTGCGGCTGCCATCAACACACTGTCGAACACTGGTGGTTTTGTGTGTGTTTTTATTTTCAAACATTGCTGTGCCCTCGGTCCACTGCCTGGATGCACAGGGAATTTGTTTATTTTCACACCACACATATTCTCTTGTGAACTGTCTTTGTGGGGCACTGGTGCCAACTCCACCCCTGAACTGGTCAAAAGAGAACTTTTTGACATTTCCTTGAGCGGTTCCTGAGTCCAACGCCTTCTCTTGGCGGGAGGGGGAGAAAATAACCACTCGTTTTGAGGGAGGATAACAACAGATACTCCAAGAGTGCTGTTGCTCGTCTGCTTGTCCAGAACATGAGGACGAGTTAGGTTGCTTGGCGTTTCTTCCCTCCCTGTGGGTTTACGGGTCTGTGTCCAGCCGCAGCTGCTGCAAAGGAAGGTTTTCCCCTTGGCTGTGCTGGCTTAGGTTTTACCTCAGTCTGCTGAGGCTGAGGAGGTTTGGGACTCCTGAAAGCCGACTGACCACTTCTGAGAGGGGCATCAAAACCAGGCCATGCTAATAGAGAAGCCTTAGGAATGGGTTTTCGGGGGAGGCAAGCTCGGAAAGCCGCACCCTCCTGCTTCCTCAGATCACACCGCTGGCACATAGCAGTGACTGATGCTCCGAAAAGGGCTTTGGGCTCAACCGGGGTATCCAGGAAATCAACTTTATCTCTGTCAGATAGTCCCAGCCAGAGAGCTTGCTCGCCAACCACTGCCAAGCCCATGCTGCGGCCGCAGCTCTGGACTGCACCCCTGGAGGTTCTCAGGTTGAGATCTGCAATAACGCAGATCTCTTCAAAGAGAGCTGGGTTTGGTGACACAGCATCCATTTGTCTCCCCATCTCCTCCATTAGCTCTGCTTGATAAGCAGTGAAGCGAGAGGTAGCATTCAGAGCCCTCACTGCCAGAGCAGAGGAACGATAGATCTTCTGAAAAACTGAGGCTGTTAAGCGCTCAGTACATCCTGGCAGCGAAGCTGAGGCAGAAGAAAAAGCTGCTCTGCAATTAGGGTTAAGATAATGTGCATGATGTACAGCTCAACAGGAGGGGGATTTGACATCCCTAGCTCCTCCATGTTGTGCACATCCAGTCTGGAAAACCCCTTTACAGGAACCCTGTGTGAAAAGGGTTTGTCCCAAAAACGCTTCATCTCTGAAACGCATGCGGGGGACTGCAGGAATAACTGTTTTAACAGCCGGGGTACGCGACGGCAGTCACTTGCCGTCATATAGGTCTCTCTCCGTTCCCTGGCCCGCCTGCTGCAACGGCCATTCAATAGAAATTTTCGCCGCCGCCCTCCTGCACATTTCAAGCAGGTCGAGCTCCACTTGAGCCGAGGACGGGGACCCTTAGCTTAACGCGCTTCCCGGACGGGAGGGCATCGGTGGTAGGATTGCGTCATCATCATCATCCTCCTCTCCATCCTCCTCCAACAGACGAGCGATCGCTTCATCATCATCCTTCTCCTCCTCTCTTCCCTCTGACAAAATCGGGAAAAGAGGAGGAAGCTTGGGGAGACTTCATCCATAAACTCGCCCCAGCTGCATGACACAGGCAGCTGTTTGGTCGACGGAGAAAGGGAGGGGTCTCCTTTATTAGCGGCCACCACCCGCACTCTTCTCTCCAGAACCCTTGACGGGAGAAGGGAACAGTGTGGACAGCACTCGGGGTTTGCGAGTGCTGCTTGAGTGTGTCTCACCCCCAGGCATACAATACATACTGTAGGGGATGAGAATCCCTGCCTGAAATACTTGCGCCGCATGCACAAGGACATGAGGCATCTTTCCCTGTCGAGGCCCCGCTTGCAGAACTAATAGTCGTGTCCATTCTTTTATCAAGCGCTAAGCTCACTACAACGTGTCGCTTAGAAAAAAGACAGACCAGAGAATTCGTCGTAACTCGTTAATTCGCTCGTTTGTCTCTTAACAATAGTTTCCACCTTGATAGTGAAAAACACCCGCTCTCAGAAAAAAACGTGTTCGGTGACGTACCTTGACGGCTCGTCTAAGAACAGTTAAGCAGCTAATCCTGAAAGGGGCAACCGAGAATTTAGCTTCCAAAAGATCTTCACTGGGAAGAGAACGAGAATGAGGTAGGGACCGTTATGTAGTAATATATATAGGGAGGCGGGACTCCGTTGTGTCGTGATTGGTCTGTCAACTGACAGACGTGGTGTAATTGGTGCTTCCAGGATTGGTCACTCCTGAGGTGATTCCCATAGTGAGATACAGAAGGAATGTTTGAAAGAGAAATATCGTCATACTGCTCAGCAATCCTCTTTTTTTGTTATTGCATACTGATGTTTGTGTTTGGTAAAATGATCTGTGTCTGTGTGTATTTGTGTGTTGTTGTTTTTCTTTGTATGTGTTAGGTAGTGTGCGTTCTTGGAATATTTATAACCTTCTAAGATTGGTGTGTTTTTTAATGTGTGTCTTTGTGTAGGCGGTGGGTGCTCACAGTGAGAAAATAGAAGCAGAAGAAATCAAGTGTAAGGCCATGGCTGAGAATGCTCAGAGAGACCTAGATGAAGCACTTCCTGCTCTGGAGGAAGCCATGAAGGTCATTCTGCATTCATGCGACTATTACTTTCAATACGACATCATACAGCTGCAGTGCCAACTGAATATGTGATACATAATGTTTTCATCAGCACATGAAAAAACTGTGGTAATCTTGTTGGACTGTCTTCAGGCTCTGGAGTCGCTCAATAAGAAAGATATGACGGAGATCAAGTCATATGGCAGACCTCCAGCTCTTGTGGAAACCGTCATGCAGGCAGTTATGATCCTCAGAGGATGTGATCCAACTTGGGCGGAGGCCAAGAGACAACTGGGTACGAGAAAGAGAAAGTTCCAGATCTTTATTAAATCACTCCATCACACTGATGTCACACATGGATTCAGGCACTGGCTCAGTCATGAAATCCATACCAGACTACTGTATAACCAAAATCACATGAGCCAAACAGAGAAAGGGGAGGGTTGAGTGATTCATTAGCATGCCAGGATATATTTAAAAAGGTCAGCACAATGCGGTAGAAAGCACATAACCACAGAACAGATTGCAGAAAAAAAAAGAAATGTGTGCTTGCCTGAGGCTGAATTCAAGCCATTTGTTTTAGGAGAGGCCAACTTCATTAAGCAGTTGGTGAATTTTGATAAGAACAACATCTCCGACCGCGTGCTGAAGACCATTGGACAGTACTGCACGCAGCCCGACTTCCAGCCTGAGATCATTGGACGGATCTCACTTGCTGCAAATTACCTTTGCATGTGGATGAGGGCCATGGAGGTACAGCAATCATGAGTTACACAATTGCACACAAAGAACAAAACCATATTACCATCAGCATCAATGGTTTCTTCAAAGCGCTTTAAAGTCACCATGAAATCAAAATCGACAATTCTTATCGTATATCTTGAATTTTTTTATGGAATATTTCAGTGTTTATTATAAATGATTTATCTGTGCACATTAACTTCCCCTCCCCCTCACAACGATATCTTGTCTATGATTATGTGTGCATCAGTGCAATGACTGGGCAATAAATTCTCCTCTCCAGCAACCTGTCACTTACATGAGATCGCAGTAATTAGTAAACGACAACCATCCAATCAATTTCCAATAGACAAAATCAAACAAACAAACAAAAATTTTCATTCAAGAAGCTGTTTCTATTAGATATGCGTCATAACAGGGAAGAAAAGACAATCGCAATTTCTGTTTCACGCTGAAGGGTGGGTGTTTATTGGCTTTCAATGTTTTTATTGTTCATCAGCTGGTAAAACAATCGCTCCTACAGAAATTCCTATAATATCTCTCCTGAAAAAGTGGGTTCATCTAAGGTGCGGTCACATCTACCATTTCTTAATTTCAGTAGTAATACGTGCTATCAAGAGTTTTGTGTGAGAGTGAAAAAATTCCCCACAGATTTTGCTTCGTTTTAAGTTTGTCATGCAAATTTGCCATGTTTGCCAACAGAAGATTGCTTGGTTTTAAAGTGACTATTGTTTGAGTTGTACTTCTTGCTATACTATTGACAATGGACATTTTTTGCCTGCAAAATTTATCTGGAATTTCTGTAATCTGAATTCTGCACCATTAGAGTTTGTGCCATTTTTTAGATATTGTTAAAGTTATCATTCTTGGTGTAAAGGGGCCTTGACACTGAAACTTTTTTTAATGTTCTCATACCTTTGTGTATGTATGTATTAGGTATACAGCCGTATCTACACGGTGGTTGAGCCAAAGAGAGCCAGGATGCATGGAGCAATGACTCAGCTGGATGAGAAACAGGCCACACTAGCTGAGGCCCAGGGCAAACTCAGAGATATATATATATGTTTTAAGGCAAGTTCACACCTAAAACAAAAACTATAATGGTAACTACAGTATATTACCATCAGCACCAGTGGTTTATTCAAAGCACTTTAAAGTCACCATGAAATCCAAAATGACAATTCTTACTGTATTTCTTTTATTTTTTTATGTATTTCAGTGTTTATTATAAATTATTTATCCATGCACATTAACTTCCCCACCACAGCAATGTCTTGTCTCTGATAACGTGTGCATTGGCGCAATGACTGGCCAATAAATTCCTGTCACCTGTCACTTACATGAGATCGCAGTAATTAGAAAACAACCATCCAATTAATTCCGAATAGGCAAAATCAAGTCCCACCATGTTTTTTGGATTCAGGCACTGGCTCAGGCATGAAATCCATACCAGACTACTGTATAACCAAAATCACATGAGCCAAACAGAGAAAGGGGAGGGTTGGGTGATTCATTAGCATGCCAGGATATATTTAAAAAGGTCAGCACAATGCGGTAGAAAGCACATAACCACAGAACAGATTGCAGAAAAAAAAAATGAAATATGTGCTTGCCTGAGGCTGAATTCAAGCCATTTGTTTTAGGAGAGGGCAACTTCATTAAGCAGTTGGTGAATTTTGATAAGAACAACATCTCCGACCGCGTGCTGAAGACCATTGGACAGTACTGCACGCAGCTTTTTTTTTTTTTTCGAAAAGCTGTTTCTCTTAGATATAAGCCACAATAGGGAAGGAAAGACTTTAAGAATAGTTAAAGTTTAAGAATTTCTTTTAGATATTGTTAAAGTTATCATTGTTGGTGTAAAGGGGTCTTGACACTAAAACATTTTTTTTTTATGTTCTCATACCTTTCTGTGTGTATATATCAGGTATATGGCCGTATCTACAGGGTGGTTGAGCCAAAGAGAGCCAGGCTGCATGGAGCAATGACTCAGCTGGCTGAGAAACAGGCCGCACTGGCTGAGGCCCAGGGCAAACTTAGAGAGGTCAGCATGTGTCAGTCTGTCCTGCACTATATTTGTGCATGCATGTGGGCATGACTTTATGTTAATACTATTTGAGTTATATAGTGCTAAAAACGTGTTTGTGTATGTGTGTCTATAGGTAGGAGAGAAACTGGATCAGCTGAAGCGGCAATATGATGAAAAGCTGGCCCAGAAAGAGGAGCTACGGAGGAAATCTGAGGACATGGAGCTCAAACTGGACCGGGCCGGCAAGCTGGTGTCTGGACTGGCAGGAGAGAGAGTTCGCTGGGAGGAGACAGTGGCTGTACGCACAAACACACACATAGTCACCCTCCAGTCACCTTGATGTTTTATATGTGGATGTGAAAATGCAGCCAGGGGTCTCTGATGTGATTGTGAGTGTGTGTGATGGCTCAGGGTCTGGAGAAGAACATGTCCTGTCTGGTGGGAGACTGCCTGCTGGCTGCTGCTTTCCTGTCCTACATGGGCCCTTTCCTGTCCAACTACAGAGATGAGCTGGTCACAAATATCTGGATGAAACAGGTATCTGTCTACCTGTCTGTTATTCTCTATCATTTTATTTTTTTGTTGTTTTTGATGGTCTTTTTTTCTTTCTTATCTGTCTGTCTCTCTTTCTGTCATTGTATCGTTCTGGCAATCTTTCTGTCTGCGTTTTTCTTTGTCATTCTATCTATCTATCTGTCTGTCTGTCCGTCCGTCCGTCCTTCCTTCATTGTCTTTCTGTCTATTGGCCTGTCTGCCATTTTTTTCTATCATTCGTTCATTCCATTGTTGTAGGTGTCAATCTGTTTGTCTGCCTGTCTTTCTGTGACTATTGTTTTTTATGTTACTCTGTCTGTTGTTTTGACTGTCATTTTCTTTTGTCTGCCTGTCTTGCCTTAGCTCATCTTTAGCACCCAGTATAAACTTAGTGCTAATTAATTTTATTGATATAGATAGATAGATAGATAGATAGATAGATAGATAGGGTTTCATCAATTTAAAAGAAAAAATAGGGTCACTCTTAAAAAAAGTTTGAAAACCACTGATCTAGATCATTTGCTGTAAATTAATTCATAGCTTTGCATTGAAAACTGGTTCAGTATTGCATAGTATTGCACACTTCACAGGTTAGAATATTATGACATTATGCAGGTGACAGCTCTAACACTTCATTTCTCTTTCCTCTCGTTCAAATGTCCTTGCCCGAATCCTCCGCTACCCTTTTCATCTCTAGGTGAGAGAACTGGGGGTGCCGTGTTCTCCGGGGTTCAGCTTTGCCATGTTCCTGTCTAAACCCACAGCAGTGCGCGAATGGAATATCCAAGGCCTTCCGTCTGATGCCTTCTCCACTGAGAACGGAGTCATCGTCACCCGTGGCAACCGGTCAGGCCCAGAGAGCCAATCCCTTAACGCTAATTAGAATAATGATGATATCTCATGAATAATGAGCAGTAATGAATAGTGATTGGAGAATAATTAGCTAAAGATAATAGTAAGCTCGGTTTTTTTGGATTGTTCATTTATAGCTAATGCTAATTTCCTCCCTCACACATACACACACACACACACCAAACAGATTAATGGCATTTTGAGATTATGGATTATTAGGAAATAGCCGATTTATGGATAATGTGACATGCATTTATAGTAAGAGCTAATGTTTCTCTCTCCCTGTCCTTCGTCACAGATGGCCACTAATGGTGGACCCTCAAGGACAAGCGCTAAAGTGGATTAAGAACATGGAGTCCAAACGGGTGAATATTTCACACACACACACACACACACACACCACACACATACACATATCCCATATATATAAGTTCATAGAATTCTTTTACTGAACTCAGACTACATTATTTTGCTGGAAATGTCTTGGCAACGAATACAGACATCAGAGCAGGGCAGAAACAATGGAAACGGAGACTGCCGTGATTATTAGACAGTGTTAGATCTACTTCTCCATGGAGAAAAACATAACCCACATTCAGTGCCAACATTACCTGCTCAGAGTCACGATGCCTCATCACATGACTCACCGTCTAATCCACAGACGAGCCGTTTTCAGAGCCCTTATTTAGAATACAAGAATTCCAAACTCAATCCTCCTGTGAGTTAGAAACTGCCTCCCATGTGAGGCAGCGTCTCCTCACCTGCTCTCCTTCAGCAGAATACACCTTCCATTTATCACTCCCTCTGAACACAGATGCACATTAATACACTCGCTCTCTGTGTCTCTGTGCTGGGGTGGGGTGGGTTTTGTTTGCTGAACGATAGATAGATAGATATAGATAGATAGATAGATAGATAGATAGACAAACAGAAGGATGGATAGATAGGCTGTCATGTATGTTCAGGAGACATAGGAGGACGCACACTTTCGATTCATCTCTCAGGATAATTTGCTGTTCAGCTTCAGCCTCTGTTCTTCTTCTCTTTCTGTCTGTGACCTTTTCCTCCTCTTCGCAGGTCTTTTCTCATCTGTAGTGGTGAGTGTCTGGAGCGGCGAGTGCCGTTCACACGCTACAGTTAAACGTTGACATTTACGAACAATAACAAAATGACAGAGCCGAAGCCTCTTTTCTGCCTCCTCCAGCTCTTCTCCATTTCTTTCACATCCCATTTTATTTCTTCGATGTCCATTTATCACTTTTGAATCATATTTATCCTCTCTGCTACCTTTACTTTTTTCTTCTTAGTTGATGTCATTATATCGTCCTCTGTGTGTCCTTCATGTTCTCTTCTAGTCTCATGTTGTCTATCTCTCTCAGGGGTTGAAGGTAATTTTTTTGCGGATCCTGGAGAATGTAGTGCAATTTGGTTCCCCGGTTATTTTGCAGAACGTCCAAGAGGAACTAGATCCTTCACTGGCCCCCATCCTCAACAAGTCCCTCACACGAGTTGGTCAGTCCCCTCTATACACACACAAACAAACACACGACTCAACATTGGCTGATAACATTGCTTAGGTTCAAGTTTTGTATTTATACATATGTGTCTGTCAATAGCATTAAATAGATTTTTAGATGTTATAATTTGACATCCCTAGCTCCTCCATGTTGTGCGCATCCAGTCTGGAAAACCCCTTCACAGGAACCCTGTGTGAAAAGGGTTTGTCCCAAAAACGCTTCATCTCTGAAACGCATGCGGGGGACTGCAGGAATAACTGTTTTAACAGCCGGGGTACGCGACGGCAGTCACTTGCCGTCATATAGGTCTCTCTCCGTTCCTTGGCCCGCCTGCTGCAACGGCCATTCAATAGAAATTTTCGCCGCCGCCCTCCTGCACATTTCAAGCAGGTCGAGCTCCACTTGAGCCGAGGACGGGGACCCTTAGCTTAACGCGCTTCCCGGACGGGAGGGCATCGGTGGTAGGATTGCGTCATCATCATCATCCTCCTCTCCATCCTCCTCCAACAGACGAGCGATCGCTTCATCATCATCCTTCTCCTCCTCTCTTCCCTCTGACAAAATCGGGAAAAGAGGAGGAAGCTTGGGGAGACTTCATCCATAAACTCGCCCCAGCTGCATGACACAGGCAGCTGTTTGGTCGACGGAGAAAGGGAGGGGTCTCCTTTATTAGCGGCCACCACCCGCACTCTTCTCTCCAGAACCCTTGACGGGAGAAGGGAACAGTGTGGACAGCACTCGGGGTTTGCGAGTGCTGCTTGAGTGTGTCTCACCCCCAGGCATACAATACATACTGTAGGGGATGAGAATCCCTGCCTGAAATACTTGCGCCGCATGCACAAGGACATGAGGCATCTTTCCCTGTCGAGGCCCCGCTTGCAGAACTAATAGTCGTGTCCATTCTTTTATCAAGCGCTAAGCTCACTACAACGTGTCGCTTAGAAAAAAGACAGACCAGAGAATTCGTCGTAACTCGTTAATTCGCTCGTTTGTCTCTTAACAATAGTTTCCACCTTGATAGTGAAAAACACCCGCTCTCAGAAAAAAACGTGTTCGGTGACGTACCTTGACGGCTCGTCTAAGAACAGTTAAGCAGCTAATCCTGAAAGGGGCAACCGAGAATTTAGCTTCCAAAAGATCTTCACTGGGAAGAGAACGAGAATGAGGTAGGGACCGTTATGTAGTAATATATATAGGGAGGCGGGACTCCGTTGTGTCGTGATTGGTCTGTCAACTGACAGACGTGGTGTAATTGGTGCTTCCAGGATTGGTCACTCCTGAGGTGATTCCCATAGTGTGATACAGAAGGAATGTTTGAAAGAGAAATATCGTCATACTGCTCAGCAATCCTCTTTTTTTGTTATTGCATACTGATGTTTGTGTTTGGTAAAATGATCTGTGTCTGTGTGTATTTGTGTGTTGTTGTTTTTCTTTGTATGTGTTAGGTAGTGTGCGTTCTTGGAATATTTATAACCTTCTAAGATTGGTGTGTTTTTTAATGTGTGTCTTTGTGTAGGCGGTGGGTGCTCACAGTGAGAAAATAGAAGCAGAAGAAATCAAGTGTAAGGCCATGGCTGAGAATGCTCAGAGAGACCTAGATGAAGCACTTCCTGCTCTGGAGGAAGCCATGAAGGTCATTCTGCATTCATGCGACTATTACTTTCAATACGACATCATACAGCTGCAGTGCCAACTGAATATGTGATACATAATGTTTTCATCAGCACATGAAAAAACTGTGGTAATCTTGTTGGACTGTCTTCAGGCTCTGGAGTCGCTCAATAAGAAAGATATGACGGAGATCAAGTCATATGGCAGACCTCCAGCTCTTGTGGAAACCGTCATGCAGGCAGTTATGATCCTCAGAGGATGTGATCCAACTTGGGCGGAGGCCAAGAGACAACTGGGTACGAGAAAGAGAAAGTTCCAGATCTTTATTAAATCACTCCATCACACTGATGTCACACATGGATTCAGGCACTGGCTCAGTCATGAAATCCATACCAGACTACTGTATAACCAAAATCACATGAGCCAAACAGAGAAAGGGGAGGGTTGGGTGATTCATTAGCATGCCAGGATATATTTAAAAAGGTCAGCACAATGCGGTAGAAAGCACATAACCACAGAACAGATTGCAGAAAAAAAAAATGAAATATGTGCTTGCCTGAGGCTGAATTCAAGCCATTTGTTTTAGGAGAGGGCAACTTCATTAAGCAGTTGGTGAATTTTGATAAGAACAACATCTCCGACCGCGTGCTGAAGACCATTGGACAGTACTGCACGCAGCCCGACTTCCAGCCTGAGATCATCGGACGGGTCTCACTCGCTGCAAAGTCCCTCTGCATGTGGGTCAGGGCCATGGAGGTACAACAATCATGAACAATTACAACGGTTACGACACCAGAATGGTGTTATGCTGCCCGATAGATAGATAGATAGATAGATAGGGTTTCATCAATTTAAAAGAAAAAATAGGGTCACTCTTAAAAAAAGTTTGAAAACCACTGATCTAGATCATTTGCTGTAAATTAATTCATAGCTTTGCATTGAAAACTGGTTCAGTATTGCATAGTATTGCACACTTCACAGGTTAGAATATTATGACATTATGCAGGTGACAGCTCTAACACTTCATTTCTCTTTCCTCTCGTTCAAATGTCCTTGCCCGAATCCTCCGCTACCCTTTTCATCTCTAGGTGAGAGAACTGGGGGTGCCGTGTTCTCCGGGGTTCAGCTTTGCCATGTTCCTGTCTAAACCCACAGCAGTGCGCGAATGGAATATCCAAGGCCTTCCGTCTGATGCCTTCTCCACTGAGAACGGAGTCATCGTCACCCGTGGCAACCGGTCAGGCCCAGAGAGCCAATCCCTTAACGCTAATTAGAATAATGATGATATCTCATGAATAATGAGCAGTAATGAATAGTGATTGGAGAATAATTAGCTAAAGATAATAGTAAGCTCGGTTTTTTTGGATTGTTCATTTATAGCTAATGCTAATTTCCTCCCTCACACATACACACACACACACACCAAACAGATTAATGGCATTTTGAGATTATGGATTATTAGGAAATAGCCGATTTATGGATAATGTGACATGCATTTATAGTAAGAGCTAATGTTTCTCTCTCCCTGTCCTTCGTCACAGATGGCCACTAATGGTGGACCCTCAAGGACAAGCGCTAAAGTGGATTAAGAACATGGAGTCCAAACGGGTGAATATTTCACACACACACACACACACACACACCACACACATACACATATCCCATATATATAAGTTCATAGAATTCTTTTACTGAACTCAGACTACATTATTTTGCTGGAAATGTCTTGGCAACGAATACAGACATCAGAGCAGGGCAGAAACAATGGAAACGGAGACTGCCGTGATTATTAGACAGTGTTAGATCTACTTCTCCATGGAGAAAAACATAACCCACATTCAGTGCCAACATTACCTGCTCAGAGTCACGATGCCTCATCACACACACACACACACACACACACACACCACACACATACACATATCCCATATATATAAGTTCATAGAATTCTTTTACTGAACTCAGACTACATTATTTTGCTGGAAATGTCTTGGCAACGAATACAGACATCAGAGCAGGGCAGAAACAATGGAAACGGAGACTGTCGTGATTATTAGACAGTTAGATCTACTTCTCCATGGAGAAAAACATAACCCACATTCAGTGCCAACATTACCTGCTCAGAGTCACGATGCCTCATCACATGACTCACCGTCTAACCCACAGACGAGCCATTTTCAGAGCCCTTAATTAGAATACAAGAACTCCAAACTCAATTCTCCTGTGAGTTGGAAACTGTGTCCCCTGTGAGGCCGCATCTCCTCACCTGCTCTCCTTCAGCAGAATACACCTTCCATTTATCACTCCCTCTGAACACAGATGCACATTAATACACTCGCTCTCTGTGTCTCTGTGCTGGGGTGGGGTGGGTTTTGTTTGCTGAACGATAGATAGATAGATATAGATAGATAGATAGATAGATAGATAGACAAACAGAAGGATGGATAGATAGGCTGTCATGTATGTTCAGGAGACATAGGAGGACGCACACTTTCGATTCATCTCTCAGGATAATTTGCTGTTCAGCTTCAGCCTCTGTTCTTCTTCTCTTTCTGTCTGTGACCTTTTCCTCCTCTTCGCAGGTCTTTTCTCATCTGTAGTGGTGAGTGTCTGGAGCGGCGAGTGCCGTTCACACGCTACAGTTAAACGTTGACATTTACGAACAATAACAAAATGACAGAGCCGAAGCCTCTTTTCTGCCTCCTCCAGCTCTTCTCCATTTCTTTCACATCCCATTTTATTTCTTCGATGTCCATTTATCACTTTTGAATCATATTTATCCTCTCTGCTACCTTTACTTTTTTCTTCTTAGTTGATGTCATTATATCGTCCTCTGTGTGTCCTTCATGTTCTCTTCTAGTCTCATGTTGTCTTTCTCTCTCAGGGGTTGAAGGTAATAGACCTGCAGATGCCGGATTTTTTGCGGATCCTGGAGAATGCGGTGCAGTTTGGTTCCCCAGTTCTTTTGCAGAACGTCCAAGAGGAACTAGATCCTTCACTAGCCCCCATTCTCAACAAGTCCCTCACAAAAGTTGGTCAGTCCCCTCTATACACACACAAACACACACACGACTCACCATTGACTGATAACATTGCTTAATCAGGATGACAGAATATGCAGGATGTAATGGGTTCAGGTTGTGTATATATGAATATGTGTCTGTTGAAAGCATTTTTTGATGTTATAGCAGTGTAATTTACTGGTATAATGCTATTTAAAGGTTATTTTACTGGGAAAAGTATTTTTACTATAAAATGATCTTTACATCATGCAAACCGTAATAAATTTAATGAAGTAAAATAGCTTAAAAAATCTGTATTTTGTTTCTAGTACTTAAAAATAGCATACGAAAAAATGTCTCAGGGCCAGAGAAACTGTCACCGGGGCAAGTAAAATTTGGCAGAGTGATTTAAAAAGTTGGCCTGGTAAGGTTGTAGGTTCGAATTCCACAAGGAATGATCTGTGGAAATATTGCATATCTCTTGTGTGTGTTCTGCAGGTGGGCGTTTCTTGTTAAAACTGGGAGATAAAGAAGTGGAATACAGTCCTGAATTCCGTTTCTACATGACCACCAAACTGTCCAATCCACATTACACTCCTGAAATCTCTTCCAAAACCACTATCGTCAACTTTGCTGTTAAAGAACAGGTCAGTGTGTGTTAATGAACTTGTTCCCATGACAGAGGTATTTGAGGATGAAACATAACTCTGTGTGCATCAGGGTCTGGAGGCCCAGCTGCTGGGGATCGTGGTGAGGAAGGAGCGTCCTGAGCTGGAGGAACAGAAGGACTCTCTGGTGATCAACATCGCCTCTGGCAAGAGGAAACTGCAGGAGCTGGAGGACGAGATCCTGCGGTGGGCGGCACACACGCTCGCACATGTCACAGCTCTGCATTAGCACCTTCATACAAGTGCCACTAACACATCAGTAATTCTAATCAACAGTGTATTTATACTGGCAAGTCTCACATTTTGCACTCATCCATTTTGTTTGTGTTTGTGTGCAGGTTGCTGAATGAGGCGTCCGGCTCCCTGCTGGATGACGTTCAGCTGGTGAACACCCTGCAGACCTCCAAAGTCACGGCCACGGAGGTCGCAGAACAACTGGAGATCAGCGAACTGACCGAGAGCCAAATCGATACCGCCAGAGAGGTGAGAGAGAGAGAGAGGGGGATGAGGGGGAGGTCAAGGAGAGAGAGATGGTGTGAGGGAGGGTGCTGAAAGGGTTGCCTGATTGGATTAAAGATTGCGCCTCTGAATAAGGCAGAGAGATAAAAAGACTGCTGAGATGAGGATGTTGATAGCAGGAGAGGCAGATAAAGCTATAGACACCACTCTGTGTGTGTGTTTGTGTGTGTTCAGGCCTACCGCCCCTGCGCCCAGAGGGCGTCCATCCTGTTCTTTGTACTGAATGATCTGGGCTATATAGATCCCATGTATCAGTTCTCTCTGGACGCCTACACCAACCTGTTCACCCTGAGTATAGAGAGCAGCCCCCGCAGCCACAAACTGGAGGAGAGGATAAACAACCTCAACAGACACCACACTTATGCCGTCTACAGGTCTGAAACACAAACTCACATACACATGCATATATTTACAGAGGTGTTCCTTTGTTACTGTGCAGTTTTTGGAGTTTTTTCACTGTACTTGCACTCTTATGCCCCAGAGGTTGATTTTTATTAAAACCTACAGATGCCAGTAGCATGTACTTTTTCTAATTTCAAAATGCCTTTTAAGAATAAGTTTTGTGTCTTAAAGCATGAAAATCTCTTTTAAAGATTATTACATTTTTATTCAAACTATTTTAATTGTAACAAAAAATAAAATATAAAAGCTATTTTCATATTTCTGTGAAAATTATATATACTGTGTACACTACCAATTCAAAGGTTTGGGATCAGTACGATTTCGATTTCTTTTTATGTTTTTGAAAGAAGCCTCTTATGATCACCAAGGCTGCATTTATTTGATAAAAAAATGCAATAAAAACAATATTGTGAAATGTTATTATAATTCAAATAACTGTTTAGAAATAAAAATATTTTAATGTCATTTATTCCAGTGATGGCAAAGCAGCTATAACTCCAGTCTTCAGTGTCACATGATCCTTAAGAAATCATTCACATTTCTTATTACCACAACTGAAAACAGTTGTGCTTAAAATACTTTGTGGAAACCGTAGTAATTTTTTTTTTTTCAGGATTCTTTTTGAACTAGAAAGTTTAAAGAACCACATTTATTTTGAAATGTCACAGTCACTTTTGATTAGTTCAGTGGGTCTTTGCTAAATAGAAGTATTAATTTCTTAAAACAAAAAAAAACTCCAAACTTTTGAACAGTTGTGCATGTACATAGCATTTATGTAGCATTACACTGTTTCTATCTTCATATGTCTTCATATGTAAATGTAAGTAACTGTATTTACCCATGGGACATTTTTCATAAATGATGCACACACATATACAGCCACATACATAATCATCATGTAGTGCTTGCTCGTTGTCATCTCACATTTTTTTAATGGTTTTTTAAATCTTATTAAGCTGACTTTCAGAGTGATGTCAGAGAGTTTGATCTGTTTGCAGATACACCTGTCGAGGACTGTTTGAGTGTCACAAGCTCCTGTTCAGTTTCCACATGTGCGCCAAGATCCTGGAGGCGTCCAGAAAGCTCAACATTGATGAATACAGCTTCTTTCTCCGGGGGGGACTGGTGAGAGCTGCAGGGGGGAGTGTGTTTGTGTGTGTGTTCTGGTTCTGAAAGTGGATTTTTGGAAAAGATTGTTTTGACTTGTTTAAAAATAAAAAAAGTCCTCATGTTACATAAAGCAATCTGTGTGGTGTGTGTGTATGTGTGTGTTAGGTTCTGGATAAGGAGAAACAGATGGATAACCCCTGCTCTATCTGGCTGTCTGACTCTAACTGGGACAACATAACTGAACTGGATAAGCTGACTAATTTCCATGGACTCATGGCCTCGTTTGAGCAGTACCCTCGAGACTGGCACCTCTGGTACACCAATCCAGAACCAGAGAAAGCACCGCTTCCTGGTAATGTGTGTGTGTATGGGCGTCAAGTTTTGCGTACATTGTGGGAACCTAATTTTAGGATATAAGGTTTGGTTTGGGTTAGGAATCTTACAATCAGAATGATTCTGGCTCCTTAATGGTTCTTAATGGGAATCAGAGCCAATGTCAGAGTTGTATGGATTTAAAATGGTGTTCTGTCCACACTGGCAGAAGAATGCATCTTCCATTAACCTGAAGAAAATATCATTCAGTTCTGGTACTTAAAAAAAGGTTCATGGTTCAGAGATCCTAGTTAGGGAATAGAAAATATCATTAGAGCAATATGAAAACAATACAAGTCAATGAAAAGTCCCCTTTTAAAGTTAGTGAAGTGAAACACATTATCACCTTGTTTCTTAATTTCCCTCTTCATTTCTCTTCCCAAAAAATCTTGTGTGATATAACTTGTGTTTGTTTGTTTGCTGGTTTTTATTGTATTTGTTATACTTGTATTTTTTAAATAGTTTTTGCCATGAAAATAGCCTTTGATGCTGACATGGCATTAAATAAATATATATACTATACTATACTACATTTCTCTTCCCTCTCTCCCTTCCTGACCTGAATGCCACAATCTGCCTCTTTGTTTTTTTTTTCCTCTCTTTCGCTCTCTGCACAGGAGAATGGCAAAAAAACTGCAATGAGCTGCAGAGGATGCTGATTGTACGATCTCTCCGACAGGATCGCGTCTCTCTCTGCGTCACGACTTTCGTCATCAATAACCTGGGCTCTCAGTTCGTAGAGCCGCCCATTCTCGATATGAAGGCTGTGAGTGTCACCCACACACACATACACACCCACACACACAAAGATGTCTGCTCACCTTAAAGCTTAGTATGAAAATGAATAAATGAGCAAAGAAATTAACTTTTTTTGTTCTTTATATCATAGTGGCTCTTGGGTGAGATTTGAAAATTGCAAAGTTTTGTGTTACATTAAGGTGAAATGTACTCAGATTGTTAATGACACCGTTCTATAAGAAGCTGACATTTTCAGCTTTTGAACTCAGAAAATTGAATGTGAGACTGCTTTTTAACTCTTACCTCTCTGGACCTCTGGAGCATAATAACCAACACAACTTACCAACACCAGGGCTTTTTTTTTTGCCGGCCTGCGTCTCCCTCTAGACAGAGAGTGAGAGACTGCATGAAATAAATCAGATATGCTTCAGAGTTACCTAAATGCAATTGATTTTTTTCCCCCTTTTTCATTTTTCTCTCAGTTCTTTAGTATGCATTTTGACTTTTGCATTTACTTAGAAAATAGAAACCATCTGAATCAAAAAATCATCTGCATTTGCACCAAAACCCATTTACTCTATGTGTGTGTGTGTGTGTGCCTCAGGTTTTAGCGGACAGCACCATGAGGACTCCTCTGATCTTTGTGCTGTCCCCTGGTGTGGACCCAACAGCATCCCTGGTTCAGCTGGCAGAGACGTCAGGCATGGGTCAGCGCTTCTTTGCCCTCTCACTGGGTCAGGGCCAGGCACCCATCGCAACGCGGCTGATCAAAGAGGGAGTCGCAAACGGTGAGGTGATCTCTCTGCCTGTGTTTTTGCCACTATTTATCTCCCTGTTTATAGGTTCCTCTGATAACTCTTAATGGTTTGCCCTCAAAATTAAGTTAGATGAGTAGATTGGGAGTTTGGGATTAGTAAAATTGATTGATTGATTATTTATTTTTGTTTTTAAAAGAAATTATTTTATTTAGCTATTTGTTTGCATTAAATTGATCATAAGTGAGAGTAAGGCATTTACAATGTTTTTTTTTTTTTTACTTTATTCATCAAAAAATCTTGAAAAAAATGTATCACAGTTTCCACAAAAAAAAAAAAGCAGCACAACTGTTTTCAACATTGATATAAATAGAGAAGCACCAAATCAGCATATTAGAATGGTTTCTGAAGGATCATATTACACTGAATACTGGAGTAATGGCAGTGGTGTAAAGTGTTTGAGTAAATCTAATTACTTAAGTACTTAAAGGCACAATATGTAAGATTTTTTCATTAAAATATCCAAAAACCACTAGAACAGTGTTATATATTTTGCTGACTTGTGTACTTACATTATCCCAAATGTTTGAAGAATGTTTAAATCCAGAGAAATAAGCAATTTTAACTAGTGACGCGGACCGTGTCCATAGTGTCATTGTGTCGCCTGCCAATGACGTCATAACCCTCGATTTCCGGTTTTGTTTTCTAGAACACATGGAAACACCAAAGACGCTTTAATATG